TTCGTCCCGGCAGCAATGGCGCCGTCGTCGTCCGACCAGCCGCCCTCGTCCCATCGTCCAACAAAGTATGGGAACACAAGATGGACGCGCTGTTCCAAAAGTTCATGGTCACAGGCATGCATCACGACGGGGACATCAGGTCCTTCCTTCCCTTCTCTTTGTTTCTCATCGTGTCTGTCCTGTGGGTAGTGTACACAATCTGCCCAGCGACGACACGGAGGTATCACTTTCATCTCCATCTGGCCACACCACAGAACATCCTTCCTTCTCGTCATCGCGCTCGAGTGCCAAGCGCACCCCCGTGTGCAACACTTGCAAAGGCCCCCACATAACGATCCTGTGCCCCTTGCTTCAACCTGCATCGAGTGATTCGAGTGATTCCCATTGCAGTCTCACCACGTCCGACTTGCAATGTGCCAACTGCCATCGCGCGCACGTTTTGACCGAGTGTCCACTTCTCCCTCCTTCATCCTCGTCGTTCTCGTCCAAGAAAGCCAAGCGACTCGCATGTGGCAACTGCCGAGGCGACCACATGACGATCGAGTGCCCGCAAATGCCCCAGGCCTCCACCCCCAAAGCCGACAAAGCCGCGTTCGTTCGAAAGGTGTACACCAACTACCACAACGAGAACGCGTCCAACAGCACCCATGCGTACCTGGGGGACGAAGTGTCGGTCCACGGCATGGCGGCGTACCCCCGCGACACGGCAGCACCTGTCTCCGTGTACGAAAGCATCATCGAAGAAGAGTCTTCTTCACATCCTGTCGACGACTTCTCGTCGCCGATCCTGCCGCCCCTCGCCGCGACATTGTCGGCGCGGCGCCCAGACGTGTGGATCTTGTCATCTCTCCAAGAACTCCCGACCGACCTGTCCATGCAACGCATGCGCAAGCGCGGCACCGCCTGCCGCCAGCATTGCTGGGACCACGACATGGAAACCTACGGGTACGTGTACTTGCGGTCGTCCACGTCGACGCAGGTACGAACAATACACGAACGATTATTGTACCGTACAGTGTACGGTACACTTACATGTACGTAAAGTGGGTCCGCCGGTACATGGTGCTGTTTCGAAACACGTTGGTCGAGTACAGAGACGAAGATGCACACCCGTCCGATGGGGTTTGCCAACGTCAGCGAGGCGGAGATGGCGCTCGAAGACGACGGCATGCTGACCTTGGCCGTGACGGCGTCGGCGCTCCGGACACAGGAATGGGCCGTGTCCTCGTGGAAGTTTGACGATCCAACGGGTGATGGACGACGGGTCCGTGTGTATCTCGAAAGTCTGGGGGGATGATGATCATGATGAGGGGAATGTGTTTAGTGGCTGGACGCTCTGACGCGGGCGAGTCGATTGCAATGGACAGACTTTTACACGGAAGATATTGGGGTTGAGTTGGGCCAAGGGCGGTTCTCGGTCGTCAAGCGCGCGCGGCGAAAGGTGCCGTCGGCGTGTGTCGCGGAATGCGCGTTGAAGATCATCGACAAGGCCGTGTTTTGGTAGACAACAACACAAGCCACGTGTCCAAGCAACGATGGATCGATCATGGCGGACGTGTGTAGGAAGTTGGTCGAGCAAGGGATTGAGCGCAACGACACGCTGTTCCGTGAAGTGTTGACACAGACCGTGCTTACCATGCGCAGCGACGTGATGCACGAATGCTTTGTCGTGCAAGTCATCTCACTGTTTGAGACCCACGATCATTTGGTACTGTGTGACGACATGGTGTCGTGCTTGGTAGATTGACGTCGGTAGGTGATCGAGATGGAGCTCATGCATGGAGGAGACGTCTTCGATCGGATTGCAGACAAGGGTCCCATGTCCGAGCATGAAGCCGCCATCTTCATCTCGCATCTCATCCAAGGCATTGACTTTTGCTTTAACAACGGCGTCGTCCATCGTGATGTCAAGCTGTCCAACTTGGCGCTGGACGAAGGCACGGAGATTGGCGCGAGTCGGAGGTACGGATAAGAATATTTATCCGGATGATGTTTTCGCTTTTGATGATTAGGTCGCCCGTGTTGAAGTTGGCCGACTTTGGGATGGCGGCGTTCCTGCTCCCAAACGGCATGCTCCGTGGACGGTTAGTCCTGTGTGACGATGGAATCGGAGGTTACTTACTGTATGTGTGGGGCTATAGGTGTGGAACTCCGGGGTATGTGGCCCCCGAGATCCTGTTGGCAGGAGTGAATGAAGCGTACCCCCCGCACGTCGACATGTTCTCCGTACGAATGACTTGCTCCTAGAATGTGCTCTGACGGTAAACGTAGGCTGGGGTAGTGCTGTACACGCTCTTGTGTGGGTACGAGCCGTTCTTTGGGCGCAACGACAAGGAACTGATCGCGTTGAACAAAGCTGTGGTGTACTCGTTCCACCCACAAGAATGGGCTCACATTTCTGACCATGCAAAGGAATTGATTCAACTCATGATGCAACCCGACGCGAGGGGTCGAATAACTGCGCAAGAAGCGCTGCGGCATCCCTTTTTGAAGGACATTCCCGTCGCGTCCTTCGCCGGTGCCATGGCATGCGCAAGGTTATTCTAATCAACTTTTTCACGGGAGCCGGTTCGAATCCGGCATCCGGATATTTTTTACCGCTCAGTATTTTGTGCTTTGAAAGTTCACAGTCAATATAGACTCGATCGATCGACCAAACAAATAAGTGTACAGTACTGTACCGTAATGTATACGGTCATTTCTTACCCTCATTTTGACACCCTTGGATTTTTGGATACTCCGGAGTACTACAGGAGTAAACATGGAGTTTAACGTGACTGCTAATTAACAATGTAAATACAAACAATAAGATAAGGCTATCCATAAGTTTCCTCACACTTGAAATGTATACTGAAATCAAATGAAAGTGAGGCAAACTACTACCGAATTTACCGTACATCTGTAACCCCAATTTTTGACCATTAAGTTGTAACCATGAAAATTTCCAATACTTTGTTCAAGATAAAAAAAAGTCAGATCAATTTGCTTCGGGATGGAATTGAAGGCCGTCGACATTGTTGGCTGCTCGAGCGGTGAAGGGACTCGAAGCTGCCCTATGCACGAGGTTTGCGGTGACAGTCTGGCCCTCAACGATGTGGTTGTGTTTTGATGCGAGGTCATGCGATTGAATGCTGAAGGACTCGAAGAAACCCTCAAGGTTTACAAGATTATTGGTGCGGAGCAACTCTGCCATGTCGGCTTTCTTCCCCGTCATTTGGT